TCTCTTCCTGCTCATGCTACTTCTTGCTCAGTCTGATGCAGTATTAGGGCATGTGGATGAAAGTAAAGCTAGTCAAATAAAGACTACTGCTTACAACAAAATCTCACACTTTGCTATCACAGAAACTGCTAGAGCCAATAGTAAAATGGGGAGTTAACGTTTCATTTAACTCACTGTGCTCTCTTGACTCATAGAGAGACACCTAACAGCTCTCAGTTTATTTCTCCCACTTCTTTATTTCCAAAAAAGTCACAGATTTTGCAGATATGTCAGTAGGTCATCGCCCAGAAGAGAACACGGTCCCAGGCCCTGTAGAGGATAGAGGGACACCATCATCTTCATGGCACCAGCCCCTTTTTTTTCAGCCCCTTTCTTTCATCAGCGAGTTGTCAGGCTCTTCATATAGAGACTGCCTCAACCCTTGCATGTATAATAATAGTAATTGATCAGCTTCACCTAAGGCAAGTCAGCTGTCTGTGACTCATGAAATCAATCACCAGCTGTTAGGTAAAGTATGTTTGATGCTAACTCTTCTTGCTCCAATTGTAATGCAGGGCTCGGAGCATTGGGTATTTATAGAGAGAGAAACCACTAGGCTGGAAGAGGTAGCTCTAAAGAAAGCTTTGAGAGTCAAGAAAGAAGAAGGACATGCGGGTACTTCAGAGGTGAAAATGAGCGTGAGCATGTCGAAAGTGGAGATGGCAGTAGGGAAAGCCAAGGAAGTGGCAGGCCAGGAAGAACCAGCAGATGCACATCTGGATGCCTGGAAGAGAGCAAAAATGATTGCCAGTCCTGAAGATTTTGAGTCTGTTTGGGAGGATGAGATCTGTGAGAAGGAAACCAGGGAGGAGCCCAGCACAGAGGCAAAGTGCTTGACATGTGAGATAGCAGAGGAGGAGTCCAAAGAGAGGGTTGAGGGGATAACCAGGAGTGAACTGGATCTGTCCAGGCCACATCAGGAGCCTGAAGAGAGACAAAGGGCTGAGGCTTTGGGGCTAGGCTCTCTCCATGGAGAAAGCAAGATGGTCTCTGAGGAGCATGTTTCTGCAGCCTTCAGGAAGCAGGATGCCAGAGCACCAACTGCAATCACAGAGGTCGTTAAAATTAAAGTGAAGTCTGGTGACGACAACACAGAGACTTCTGCTACACAGAGGATCATCTATTTAGGAGATCTGGAGGGAGAGGAGGACAATAAAATTCATCTGCTCACAGAGGCAGGAGGACATCTTGACTCAGCAGTGAGGCAAGAAACCATGGTGAATAGGCCAGGGGAAGGACCAAGGCCTGTGGCATGTCTGGGAGAAAGGTCCCAGTGCACTTCCTCAGTGTATACACAACAGGAAGCAGTGTCAGAAAAACCTTCTGTAGTGCCAGACCAGCCTGAGACAGGCTGTGATGAGACAAGCCCTGCAAGACAGCCAAGACAGCCTCCCTCAGAGCAGGAGGAAGGTTTTTCAGTGCAACAAGAGCAAGCATCAGTGAGTCTGACCAGCTGCAAAACATTGGAAGGAGATGAAGCCATGCTATGTTCCCAAGAGGTGGGGTCAGATGAGAAGGATCTGCAAAGGTCAGTAAGAGGATTGAAGCCATGCACTCTCAAGAAGGCTGAGGACACCAGACAAAGCCCAGGACAGAATCCAACTGCAGGAGAGCAGTGGGGCTTGGATGTCTCCACAGAAGAGTGGGGGCTCTCAGAAAGAAGCCTACCTGGTGGGGGGGAGGAGAAAAGCTCCACAATGGTTCTACAGATGGAAGAGATAGAGACAAAATTACCGCCATCAGCTATGCCTCAGCAGAGCTCCCCTCGTGCCGCTGTGGGGATGGAGGAGGATGGACCCAGCATTCCCACCCCTGGCACTCCTCCTCAGCAAATGAGCCCTGCAGAGCCAGCCCAGGAAATGGAACCCAAGGGCAAAGACCTGTCCCAGAGTACCAGCCTTGTAAGGGGTGTGGGCACACCTGAGGATATGAACCCCTTAACTGAGGTGGCGTGCAAGGAGGCAAGCCCTGCAGTAGGTAAAGAAGCATTTGAGGACATGAGCCCTGTAACAGAGGTGGAAATACCCAGGGATGTGAGTCCTGAATCTGTAGAAAAAAACCAAGACGTACACTTTGCTGCAAGGAAAACATACCAAAATGCAAATCCTATTGCAAGAGGACCACACCAAAGCAAAGGCAGTGCAGTGGAGACAATCCTGCTCAGAGATCCCACCACAGGGGAAGTGGTCCAGAATTCAGATCATACTGCAGCAAAGGGAACCCTGAGAGCTACAGAAGAGGCACTCCAGGAGGAACAGCTTGTGATAAAAGGGCTCTCCCAGAACATAGGGCCCACATTGGGAAAGCTGATGGGAGGTGAAGGCATGGAACAGCTGCCACCCAAGGCAGAAGATCAAGAACAAAAGGCTGAGACCATAATAGAACACCTGCCCCAAAAAGGTCCTAAGTCTGGAGGGCTACTCTCTGCAGATACTAAAGCACAAGGGCCAGCCTGTGACTTGGAGTTTAATGCAGGACAAGCTCTGCAAGGCAGGAGCTCTATGGCAGGAGAAACTGCTAGAGACCTTGCTATGGAGCAGCCACTGCAGTTTCCAGGAGATGCCGATGTCTTGCATTCCCACTCCCCTATAACAGGTTTGTGTCAAGGCAACAAGTTGTACCAGCTCTCAACCTTTACATATGAAGGTGGGGAAGAGGTGCAAGTGAGCCGTGGAATACAGAAGAGAGAGTCTGGACCATTGATGCATATTGCTGCAACCGAAGCTGTGTGCCAGGAGCACAGAGGTGTCACTGAAGCCCCACTCCTGGGTAGCTGGCAGGACAGTGAGAGCTACAAGAAAACCTCAGTGGCATCTAAGATTAAGATGTTTGAGCAAAGTGAAGCTGAACAAAGGACAGCCCAGGAAGGACAAGAGCATGCATCTGAAATTGAGACACCAGCAAAAACAAAGGGAAAGACGAATCTGTCACAGGACACAATTTTGGACACAGTCCCCATCTCACCTCCAGCAATGGCAGGTGCTCCAGTGGCATCCATGCCCAGTGTGGACTCCTTTGCCTTCAGGCAAGGAGCTGGTCCAGGAGACTCCTCCCAGCTCCTGTCTCTGAGGGAATATGTTTCTGTTGATCTGGAGCGTGAAGGAGAAGACAGTGCTGACCTGGCTTCCTCTGACTCCGGCTGTGAACTCACACTGGCAGAAGCCGTGGTAACTCTTCCAATGAACTGTCCGGATGGAAAGTTCATGCGCATGTTGTGTGGCTCTTTATTTACCATGTTCAGTGGCACCTCACACATTCATTGACTGAGAACAGTTGCTTTGCATCCCCTGTCCTTTTATGTATATGTGTATGTGGTCAGGCTTATTTGCTGAATGCAGACATGCTGGGCAGTTGGTTCATTGGCTTTTGTTTTGTGACACCTCCCCTCTGCCCAACATTTTGGCTACTTCAAGAATGCCACCCAAGCTTCATGTCCAGGAACAAGAAAGGGAGATGGGGGGTGGCTTAAGGAGCTGTGAGTCCATCACAGATGCGCACACACCGAGCAGCAGTGCCCACGCTTCCAGCTTCACCCTTGCATTTCTTACGTTGGTATCCCTTCTTGCTTAGCTCGCCAGCCTTACCCATCCTACCCTGTCTTTGGCAAGCTGGTGGCTGGATGATGAAATAGCTTACTTTGCTCTTGTAAGCACTAGATCAGATTCTTTAGAGTTAATTTCTTAAAACTAACCGTTTTCTCCAATCCAGAGCAAATCTCAGGAACCAAGTGGGGAAGAAAAGGATTTATCTGACCCGCCATTAAAACCCAACCTGAAAGAAGAGAATTTAAAGACTGCTGTTCCAGTGGTCTTAAAGGTCTCAGTGCCGTTCTACTAACTGCTTCTTGCCATAGCGTGATAGCTCACCTTAAGCAGCTGAGGACTATATGCTTCCAGCTCCTCTCCCCATTGTAGAGCTGTTATGAATGTATTTGTACACGCACACACAAATGTATGCAGGCGTGTTCCTCTTGAGTTTGTTTGTCACCCTGTTTCTCATACCTCTCAACCTCCCAGCACTGCAAACAAAAGGTGCCTGTGCTGTCAGAGTCTGGTATGTTGCAGGGGATGGCTCTAGCTGCAAATGTTTGGACCACAGTCTGGGAGATGGGCTTCCTGTTGCATCAGCCAGCTTAGAGCTAATCCTAAAGCTAATGAGGAGCTGATCTCCTAAAGAGAATCAAAAGCAAGTAAATGCATGGGTCTCGATTTCCTATCACATCATAGCAAAATGGTGAAGGGAATGCAGCCTCTGATGGCAGAGTTGAGAGATATGTCCATGTCTGGGGAGGAGCTAGTGGAGAGATGTCTTCCCTTGGCTCTGATCGTGCTGTCAATTACACTGACTGAACACACAGTCTGCATCCGTAGGAGCCAGCCCTGGTTGCACGAGTCCTTGGGAGGGCACTGGGAAGTGGGGAGGGTGTGATGTGCCTGGCTCTCCTTGGGGCACTGCCCTGCCAGCTGCACGTGGATGCTCCACTTGGGCTGAGCTCAGTGCAATTGGCACACTCCTTTGCTTCTCCGCCAACCTACCTGGCTGATGGGACACTTTTCTCATGCTCAGTTTTTCTTACATATGATAGTATTGGCGTCTGAGCTGTTTCTGAATGTCTCTTAACAGAACTGTTGTTTTGCATACATCTGCTTTCACCAGGTGCAGTGATGTGCCTCTGAGCTGGCCAAGCTTTTCTGTGTGACTGACCCCTTTTTTCAGTGATTAATTACCAGTAGGCTTTTGGCAAAATCGGTTTGAATAATCCTTCTCCCCACACCCCTGCAAAGTTGCTGTTGTCAGAAAGGTTTTGGTTTCTGTGCTTGAGTTGTGTTTGACTTTATCCTGTGATGTTTGCTGCTGCCTTTTCTCTTCTTCCTCCCCTCTCCTCCATTCGCACAGCCAGTGCTGCCGTGCCATGCAGTGCTCACTGTCTCTGTCTCTCTCCGCCATTGTGTTTCATTCAGAGAGCAGGCTTAAGGGAGGGCACCGAGGAGAAAGCTAAGCTGCCTCGGCACAGGGCTCCTGAGAGCGACACTGGCGATGAGGAGCAGGACCAGGAGAAGGACTCAGTGTTTCTGAAGGACAACCACCTGGCCATCGAGCGCAAGTGCTCCAGCATCACGGTCAGTTCGACCTCCAGCTTGGAAGCAGAGGTGGACTTCACAGTGATCGGTGACTTCCATGGAACAGCCTTTGAGGACATCTCCCGGAGCCTGCCCGAGCTAGACAAGGACAAGAGTGAGATGGAAGATGAAGGCCTGGTTTCCTTCCAGCATACTGACAAAGTAGTTCCTGGATTGGAAGAGGATGGCAAAGTCAGGGAGAAGGTCACCCAGCCCAGCTCAGACATCTCTCAGCTAGAGGTACTCAGGAAAGCCGTTCCTCCAACGTTGTCTTGGTGCTACCATCTCTCCATGTTCTCTGTCCTGGTGCCTGGCATTGCCTCATTAGTGTGCAGTCCCACATCAGTTTGGAAGAGCATGCTAGCTTTCATACATCCCTGTGTTTCTGTCATGCACGCTGTTGTCTGTCTTACGTGGTTCATTCAGTTTGGGCAGGTGCATGGCACTGTCTTGTGTTTTGTGAATCTGACAACCAGGAAAGTCATCTTCATCTCTTCATGTGCTGTGTCTGGCTGCCTATCCTGCCCCTCGCGTCACTGCGGCAAATCAGAAGCTGGAAGGTTGTGTTCTGTGTAATGGCCCAGTCCCTGTGTTTTGCATGAAATTTGAGCGTGAAGAGAAATGTGCTAACTAACCTGTTTGGTAGTGCCTGGTTGGGAGAGATTGACAAAGTAGCCTGTTGGAGCAGCCCCAAATGTCGTGGAGTGTTTATCAGGAGGGCTGAGGAAACTGCATGTGGCACAGAAGAAAACTGCAAGCAGAAGTGGAGCGTGTGCCTGTGAGAGAGGACAGTAGGGCCAACCCAACCACAGGCAAAATTATCATGGCCTCTGTGCAGGCACAGGGTTTCCTGTATGCTTGGCTCAGTCAGCGCTGGCTGCAGCTCCCAGCCCTGACCAGGTGGGTGCTCCTGGAGCCACCCGCAGCACAAGTCCTGTCCTGGATCCAGGAGAAAGCTACAGAAGAAAGTGAGTTTTCTCTGAGCCAGGCCTTTTGTGGGGCACTGTGCAGCGGGCTGCTGGGCCATAGGCTTGGCTTATAGTCTCTGTGGTGCTGTGTGACGATTGCTGGGCAGGGACCATGGCTGACTCAGAAATGCTGTGGACTTGCTGGAAATTTGTCTCCATTCCCCAAGTTAGCCTCCATTTGACAGGCAGGTGTCACCACAGATGTTGGGGACTGATGCAGTACACAGAAATACCTTGGGTCATAAGAGAAATAGATTTGTTGGGTATCTGAAAACCAGTTTATCCTGACCAGTGGTATCTGTGAATCTATCAAAAAAAGATTCCGTAAATGCCTGGGGATGAAGTATTGGTTCTAATTTAGAATATGTCAGTTATACGGGGTGCTTTGTGTGGTAGCCATTAGCCTAGGATAGTGGCCTGGGATCTGCTCGTTGTCCAGGTGAGGCTCAGTGTGACACTTGCAGGATATCACACACAGGTGGCACCTGCAGAAGATTCCAGGGGAACTGCTCATGCAGGCTGGTTCAGGAGGAGCACTGAAATGTCCCCCATGTAGGGCTGTATCTCATCGCACCCTGGGAAGCAGGGTGGTTTGGAGCAGTGACTGACTTGCTGTGTTTTTTTCTGCAGTCACCAGCCCCAAAAACGGATGCTTTAACAGTCAGCCTGGGGCCAGGTACAAAGAAGACCGAAGATGCCTCCGCTGCCCACCAGATCAGCACCCCAGAAGCAGCTCAGGTGATGCAGCTGAGTTAATCCTCTCGTGGCCCTTCTCCCAGTGGCTCTGCAGAGCCTCAGTTCAGCAAAATCTGTCTGTATGCAGCATTGCAGTGGCTGAGAGAGGCCACTGGGGTTCTATACTTGCACTTGTCTTGCCAGAGTCCCCAAAGCATCAAACTAAATCTTGTCCAAACATATCCTGCGTTTACTTTTTCATGCAGGCACCACTGACCCCAGCACGTGGGGATGTCTCCAGAGGGCGATGGGCCCATGTGTGTCGCCTCTCTGGCAGCAAGGATGTAAAGCACCATGCCTGCAGATGTCACCCCTTCACAGGCACTTCCAAACTCACTGGGTTTCCTTTGCCTTTGGCAGGTGGAAGGAGGCATGCCTGGCAGCGGAGATGCATCAGCCTCTGTTAGTGCTGTCACCACAGAGACCACGCCAACAACCTCAGTAAGTGGGGCTGGCCCCTCGGAGTCCCAGGGCTGCTGCCATCCCACATGGGCCTCCTACTTTGAGGAGAAAGACCAGAGTAGATCTGCTGCTAGGGTGGGGAGGGGACGTGAAGGCTCCAGGGTGACCTGCTCTGCTCCAGAGCTGCCCTTTGGAGCAAGCTGTGCTCACCTGTGTGTTGTGTTCAAGCTCGCATGCCTGTGTGTTCTGATTTCAGGATAACACCACCAAGCCTGGGAAAGGGGCTGGCCCTACATCAGAGCTTTGCTCTGTGTCACCGGTGAGTGAGCAGTAGAGGGAGTCAACCCTGGGCCGGGGCTGGCAGTCAGGGCTGGGCAAGGTGGTCAGATCATCTCCCCACTGCAGAGAGAGCTTTTCTGTATGTCTGGGCTTGAGGTAGCTATCTCCAGCCCTGACATAGCACATATCCAGTTGAAAGCACAGTGCAGCATCTTTTTTCTTGCTGTGCTCTCTATTTTGCAACATGCTAACATGCTCACCTTTGTAGCTCTGTGCCAGTGGAGAGGTACTGGCAATCTAGGTCCTGGGGACCAGCTGTTTCTCTCTGTCATGCAGATCAGCAGCAGCTCTGCTGGGAAGGAAGTGCTCACCAGCATATTCAGTGCCACTGCAGAAACCCTCTCCACTTCTACCACTACCCACGTTACCAAGGTAAGAGCATCTTCAAACATGGCAGCTAGGGAGCGTCTGATGAAAGCCACTGGAATTTGAGGAAAGTGGATTCATGCTGTGCCTAGTACAGAAGAAGATGCCTTTCTCTTCCTTACAAGCTGAAAAAGTGTGTGCTGGCCTGTGGGAGGTCATCAGCTGGCATAGTGCCCCAGCCCTGTTCAGCCCAGCTGTGCTACCCATCCCATTCAGCCAGATGCAACTGCAGGAGACTTCAGACAAGGATGGCCTGTGTTTGACAGGTGTCAAGTGCTCATCACCTTGCATACCATCCACATGGACTATGCCCAAGTGCCATGCCCACCTCTGTGCCTTGGTATATTGGGAAGGAAGGGAGTCATTGGATTGAGAAGGAACTTGATGTTGCTGAAGCTCTGTGCTCTGAAGGCAGCAGCAGGGATGGAAGTGACTCTGCAGTAGACTGCCACCAGTACAAGTGCAACTCCCTTGTCCATGTGACTGGTGTGTGTGAACCCAGACATACCTAGAGCCAGAGCCCAGATGCCCCCAGCCCAGAAATCCCACAGCACAGCTGCCAGGTAACTCACATCAGTGCCAGAGCACCTCACCTTATCTCAACTATTAGAGCTGGAGCAGCTTAAGTAGGGGAGATAGATGACAGAAAATTAAGGAGGGGTAGTTGCACCAGTGGATCTCACCTATGGCCACTTCATTCCCAAATAAAGTACACATAAATGAAATAATCCAAGTGAGAGATCTGAGCAAGCAATAGAGGTGCTCAGTACCTGCTGCTGGCCCTTTTCCTTATACATCTCACATTCGTACTCCTGCCCACTTCTGCCCTACCTGTGTTATGCTAGCTCTAACCATGCACTACATCAGGCTTAGTGGGACATACAGGAAATAACTCAAGGAGTTCCTAAGATTATGTTGGCATTGTCTCCTCTCTGGTGGGCAGCTATGTCTTCCAGAAACAACTTGCTGGGTGCCATGTCTCCTCTCCCTCACATGCAGGCAGAGGCAGCACTCATGGCTTATGAATTTTATTATCCATCCTGTGACCACGTGCTGCAGGCAAGGCCTTGAATTAGACTTTTTGCCCAGAAGCCTGTAGCCTGCAAGGTGTGGGGATGAGGCAGGCCCAGAGGGGTGCAAATGAGTGCTTTTCTTCTTGTTGCACAGACTGTGAAAGGAGGATTTTCAGAGACCAGGATAGAGAAGCGCATAATTATCACAGGAGATGAAGATGTGGACCAGGACCAGGTAGGAGCAGTTGTCTGTGTCCCCAAGGCATGCAGTGCTGCCCACAGAAAACCCCAGTTCCATCTCAGAATGAGTGATGTCAGTCAGCATGCACTTTAACACAGGCCTGTTAAAGAGCAGGAATGTTTGGCTTTTATCAACCAAGAGCTCCCAGCCCAGCCCCCATCAGTACCTGCTGCAGAAATGAAGCAGCAGTAAAGATTACATTTCAGCACAGAACTCAGCTATGAGCTCACCTTTTAATTTCCTTAAAATACATTTCCAGTTGCCTTCTCCCCATTGAAATATTGTGAAGTGACCTAGGTTCTCCCTTTCTTTCCTGCACAGTCTCACTCAGAGTTGATGCACTCCAGGAAACCTTGTTTTGCATCTACCTCCTTGACAGAGGAACAAAAAGCGACAGACTTCTGTAATGAAATATCAGATATTGATACAAATCTCTCAGGTTGCAGGGTCATTTTCCTGGGACCTAATCCTTCAGAATTTGTTGCTTGAAAAATGAAATTGAAGGTCTAAAGTATTTTAAAATGATCTTGAGCAAGCTCTAAAGTAATTCTTAGATTTTTTTAGAACTATAGTAATAAATTTAATAAAACTATCTTAGGGGTTTGTTTAATTTTATTTATTTATTTATTTATTTATTTATTTATGGTAGAGTTTTTCTGCAGAGAATAGGTGCTGTTCCTTTGCTTGGGTTTCAGTAGGGAGTCCAGGACATTGCACATCTCTACAGAAAGACAGCAAATAAAGGGGGAGCACATGGCCTTCCACTGCTGTATGAACTTGTTGTCAGTAGTGAGTGCGAGCCTTTTCTGCCAGGCCATTATGTGTAGGTTGCACTTTGAATCTCTGTATCTGTGTCTGCCTAGAATCCCATTCAACTCTAACTTTCTATCCACTGGCTGAGAGCAGTATTCATACCAGACTTCAGGAAAGTGGCAATGAATGCTTTCATCATTCTGGTTTCTAGGCACTGGCTTTAGCAATCAAAGAGGCAAAACTACAGCATCCTGACATGCTGGTAACCAAAGCTGTGGTATACAGAGAAACAGAACCTTTTCCAGAGGAAAGGGACAAGAAACCTCAGGTAGGTGAAGAAGTTACAGGTACAATTTATATTTGCTGTGTGAGAGATGTATGTAACTGTACAAGTGCCACTGCATGTCCCTGTCTCCATCTAGTGTGGAATAACACATCACAGAATCACAGAATTGCCAGGGTTGGAAGGGACCTCAAGGATCATGAATCTCCAACCCCCCTGCCACACGCAGGGCCACATCGAAGTCCCTTGGAAAGGTTCTTCACTGGTGCTGACCCAGTCCCCCATGTGATTGCATAGGCAGTGCATGCATTTCCACACTGCATGGGCTTTACTCACTTTCCTACTCAAAACGGCCAGGGCACATTTCCACAGCTGGCATGATCGATGTTTGGGACTGACCCCACCAACTGCATGGGAGTGGCAGCTCTTGGCCAGTGCTTCCAGTGTGACTGTGACTGCAGGCATGGTCATGTGGTTGTTGTTAGAAAGCCAGCACCACAGTCACCAAAAACAGTGCTGCTGATGTGGCAAAGGAGTCAGAATCATTTGCATGTGAAGAGGAAGGACTTGCTTGTCCCCTCTGTGCAGAGACTGAGAGAGGTGATACCCATAAAGAGAAGTTTGGCAGCAGGTTGTGCAAACCCATTCCCAGGATTTGCACCTCCCCACATAGGCCTCAAAGCAGACACAGCTCTACACGTCCTCTTTTCCAGAGCAAAGCTAGCTTGAGGAGTCCTGCCCCACTCTTACCCTCTTAGTCTGACCCCTTTGCTCCCCCTCAAGAGATTGCCTCAGCTCTTCTGCCGCAGAGCTATGGCATAGCCCAAAACATTTTGTATCAGAGCAGCTAAGGGGCAGAGGAGCATGCTGAAAAAGGGAAAGGAGGTTTGAAAGGCAGCTGGACTACATGTATGAGAAGCTCCTTAGCCTGCCAGACAGTAGGTGCATTTTGAGAGGCATATTGGAAATGGATTTGGTGTTTATCTCTATGAAGAGAGGTCTGTCTATCTCTAAATAAATAATATGAAGATTTTGAATGGCAACTTCTAAGCTTGGATAAGTTTCTAGCTCTATTGCACATTGGAAGGTCAGAGAGGCCATTGCATCTGTCTACTCTCACCTCCTTTAGCACAGTATAAAGAGCCCAGATGTTTCTGTATTTCTTAGGGAGCCACCTGACTTTAAGTGAATGGCTTAAATTAAAGAAGCCTTTAGAAGTGATCTGCTGGTATCTCCCCAAACCAACATCAGCTCAGTGAACTGAGAGGTGCAGCTATGGTCAGAGGTTCTGGTAAAGAAATACAAACTGTGGCCTGGAGGGTTTGCAAGTTTACTGCCCACTGCTCTCAACAAACAGGAACCCTGTTATAGTCAGAATGTTACAGCACCCTGTGACCAGTCATTTCCATCTGCCTTGTACAGGAATCTTGACCAACATGTTCATGAAATCAGCATCTGTATTCAGACCTGGAGGACAGTGAAGAAGGAGCCTTCATGCTGGATTTGTCAGCAAAACATAGACATCCCGGCTGCAATGTTCATGGCTAGAGACAAAAAGTTTTTAAAAAAGGAATAGCAAATATATATATATATATACACATACGTACATATATATATATATATATATTAAAAAAAAAAAAAAAAAAACAGGAAACAAAATGCATCCTTGCACTGCTGCTATATGCTGGAAATGAATAGCAAGCAACACCACCAACAAAAAAAAACAACCCTCTTTGTAGAAAAAAATGAAGAATTTACTGGATTGGTGATAAAATAAGATTTAAAAATCATAATAATAACAATAATACAATAAGCCACCATCTTGCATGTTACATTAAAGGATACACAATCATGAGTTCATTTGTTGCACACTGAATGAAACAAAAACTGCTTTGCAACAAAGCAAGAAATAAGCAAACTGAAAGAAGACAAACACAAGCAGAAGCAAAACCATTCCCCACCTCTGGAAAGAAGAGAGAAAAACATTGAGTTTATTACTTTAGAGTTATTTTCCAATTTGGAAGTGTGGTTTCACCCTTCTCCTCATTCCATGCTGGTTCTTTTGCATCTTTTGTGGTTCTGTTAACTCTTCCCCTTCTGTTCCTTATCTTCTCTGTGCACTTGTCTAACCTCTTGTTCTTGGAAGGTATTTAAGGATGGAGTTCACTTCAAACAGAACAAATGACATGTATATGGTTTTTCATTTATAAAAATGCAGCCTGTAGGGGTTTCATATGGATGTGCATTTAAGTTATGTATATTATTATGTATAACAAGGGGGGGAGGGGAAGAATACTGAAATAATCAACAGTGCTGGTAAATATGATGACATTTTTAAATTATTAACTATTTGATTGACTGTGGTTGTTGTACTTTGAGACTCTTAGATCACAATGGGACTCCATGTCCTGCAAGAAGAGAACAGGGAAGGTATCAGCCACTGCTGTTTGAAGGGAGAAGGGGAGGGGGAGAGGTGGGATCCACGTGGCAGCAAGAGGTCTGGGTTTGCTGTTTGGTATGGGTTGTTTGGAAGTGCTCTGTCAGAGGTGAGTTGGAAGGCGCAGAAAGAGGTTCATGCTGCTCCTGCTGCCCTAGGTAGGGTCCTCTAACTGGCCACCAACCAAAGGTATCAGAATCAGCTGGAAACAAGGTGACAGCTGCAGGGTTCATTTTTCCTGTCCAGCTCACTGAGCTGCGATGATAGTTGGGTTGTTTTGGATTGCTTCCAGTAATGGAGTTACTTGAGTTTTGTAGTAGGAAGGGTTGGAGGCAGAGCAGTTGTTTCTGACCCTATTCCTGCTGCCTTGGGTGTGGTGGAAAGGCTGCCTGAGGCACAGCGGGTTGGTGGTGGTGCTGGAGGGTGATGGCAGTCCTTCCCTAGCCTTGCCTCCAGGTGCTGCGCAAAGGCATAGAGTGAGGAGGTCACAATGTCTCCATCAGTGAAGAACATCCCAAGTGTACAAGGCTGGGTGACAGAGCCCAGGCCCTCTAGATACGGAGGCACTTGTCAAGGTGGTGCCAGTGATGCTGCCTGCCCCGCAGCCTGACAGCTTGGCCTTTAGAGACAGGCCTCCTCAGTGGCTGGCTGCCTTTGGAAGGGGATAACAAGGCTAAGTCCAGGGCCTTGCACACTGTGAACCAGGTGGTTAGGGTAGACTTGGAACCAAAACCAGAAAGGAAAGGAAACAAACAGGTTTCCTTTTTTTTTTTTTTTTTGAATTCTATCTCCTGCAGAAACAAAAGGGGCTGCAATTCTGCACCATTTTGCCTTTAGTCTCCCACCCTTCACACAGACTGTGCCCAGAGACAGGTGTAGTTAACAGGTCCTGCAATGGATTTGAGGATGACAGTGAGAAGGAAGAGCCTGAGCTGTTAGGGTGCTGTGGGCAGATCACACTCGGGTCTTCTGTCCTGCTCTCTGGCAACCTAGGTTTATCAGCTGCTTGCTATGATGTTCCCGTGAAATCTGTTCTTCAGGTTTATCAGTTTCCCCTGCAAGCATGGAAGACCTGAGCATGAGCTGCTTGGGCAGGGGACAGCTGCTGGCTGTTACCAGTACTGTCTCTTTCCTGAAGAGGTCGGTGGTGGTGGCTCTCCCTCACCTTCTGTTTGAGTGTGGTCACCTCCTTGTGACCTGCTGCTTTTAGAGATGAGACACCAGGTGACAGAGGACCTGCTCTCAGTGCCTGCACAGGGCATTCAGCCCTTCTTGCCTATTAGCAATGGCCCGCACACTGCGCTCATTGTTCTTTGGCACACCGTGGTTCGTACTCAGAGGAGCTCACATGGCCTTCATACCTTTACAGCCACCCACTGCTCCTCTGAAGCTAAGATACTTGCTTTTGGCATCACCTGCACAGTTATCAAAAGAAAGGTTACTGCTCAAACTAGTGGCCTTATACAGTTAGAGTTGACTTGAGCGTGGACTCAGACGAATTATGTTTGGAGTGAGTGGACCCCATTCTGTGGTTTCTGCAGCTTGTTTAATGGGTGACGATGTTAAAAAGCTAAATTAGAAAATGACAACAATAAAAAAGGCACCAACAAACAAATAGGATGAAACCAAACTGCTGGGCTGGGGCAGCTCAGCACCGCGTGTTTTCTTCCAGGGGCCTTTCTGCTGAAAGCGGTGGGAGACATGAGTGCCTGTTTTTATCCGATCCCACAAATTTATTCCAAACCTGGCCTGCAATTGCATGAGTAATAATAACAGCAACAATAACGGCAATGTTTATATTTGAAAAGCACCTTACCAACCAACTGCAGTGCTCTGTTGTTCCTTCACTAGCTCCCCTTTTCCCTTCTTCTTCTCCCCCCTCCAGTCATGCTCCTTTTCAGTGCTCGGTGGTGTACGCGTGTGTGCTCACTGTTCTTGTATTCAATAAAAGTGAAATAAATGTGTTTGAAGCTAAACCAGCTCTGCGGCCTTTTCAGACTCTTTCCCACCAAAGAGAATGGGCAGATGGGGGCAGGGGCTCCAGCCGGGGGTTGCGTAGCAGGCTGTCCCCTGAAGGTACTGTATGTAGGTGGTGGATGGCGATGCTGTGTGGCTGGCCTACCAAGGGGGGTAGGGTTGTTACCCTGTGGGGTTGGAGGTTGCCACTTAGTGTCTGCGTTAAGTGGGTCACCATTTTTGCGTTCTGTTTCAAAGTTGCCCTTTTAGGTTAGGGTTGGGTGTTAAGGGTTACCTTTTGGGATATGTTTAAGGGCTACAGCTTTGGCTTAGTAGTAAGGGCTAAGGCCTTTTTGGGAGATGGTCGAGGGTTAGTTACCCTTTTTGGTTAGAATTAAGGAGTATGGGTTAATATTTTGTGTTGTGGATACAGCTACCCTTTTGGGTTAGGGTTAAGCATTAAGGTTTCTCCTTTCGTATTAGGAGGAAAGCTCACCCATTTGGGGTTAGGGTTAACGGTTGGGGCTACCAGTTTGGGTTAACAGTTACCCTTTTATGTTAGGGTTAAGTATATGAGTTACTGTTAAAGGTTACACTTTTGGTTCACGACTAAGCGTTATGGGGCACCCTTTCAGGTTCCGGTTAAGGGTCACTTTTTCGTGTTAGCGTTAATCGTTAAGGGTTACCCGTCGGTTAAGGATTACCGCCCCGGGGGGGGCGGAGGGCGACCGCCTCCGTGGGGAGACCGGATGGGAACGGAGGCACGGCCGTCAGGACGGCGCGGCGAACCGGGAGAGCAGCGCGGCTTCGGGACCGCGCGGGGGCGGAGCGAGAAGCAGCCCGGAACGGCCGTGCGCGGCGCAGGGGGCGGCCCGGCGCAGTGCGGAGGACGGGCTGCCCGTTTCCGGCCCCTTCCGTCCGCGGCCACGCGCCGCCGCTCCCGCCCGGGTCATGGCGGGGCCGCAGGCGGACCCCGAGCTGGCCAAGCGCCTCTTCTTCGAGGGCGCCGCCGTCGTCGTCCTGGGCGTGCCCGAGGGCACCGAGTTCGGCATCGACTGCAACAGCTGGACCGCGGGCCCCCGCTTCCGCGGCGTCAAGATGGTCCCGCCGGGCGTTCACTTCGTGCACTGCAGCGCGGCCCGGACCGACGGCGGCGCTGAGACGGGGCCGCGCGCGGGGCGCTTCCTCTGCCTGCGGCCGCGCCAGGTGCGAGCGCTGCGCTGGGAGCCCGGCAGCGAGGAGCTGCGGGAGGCCGCGCCGGGAGAGGAGGAAGCGCTCGGGCGGGACCTGCGGGAGATGGACGCGTTCCTCGGGCCGTACCCCTACGAGACCCTGAAGAAGTGGATCTCCCTCAGCGGCTTCGTCGGCGAAGCGGCGGTGGAGCGGCTGCGGCCGGAGAGCGGGCAGATCTCCGCCTTCTCGGAGGTGCTGCCGGTGCGGGCGGGGCGGCACGGCCGGGACCGCGCGGGGCAGAAGCTGCCCCCGTACGACGCGGGCTGCGGGAGTTACGCCGAGGGCGTGGCACGGCTGCCCGAGATGCGGCCGAGAGCGGGCACCGAGATCCGCTTCACCGAGCTGCCGCGGCAGACGTACCCCGACGGCGCCAGCCCGGAGGAGATCACCAGGCACAGCATGGACCTCAGCTACGCGCTGGAGAAGGTGATCGCGCGGCGCTACGCCGGCCGACCGCAGGAGCTGCTGGGTGAGTGCGCGGCAGAAGAGCCCCGCGCGGAGCTCCGGCCGTGCCGTGCCGTGTCGTGTCGTGCCGGGAGCGGGCGGGCGGGCGGGCGCTGCCCGGGGCGCCGGATGGGGCGCAGGGTCGGCTCTGCGGGACCGGGCGCCATGCTGCGGGGCGGGGGGGCCGGGAGCCCGGCTGGGCTGCAGCCGAGCTTTTGTTTTTCGCGTCGTCCATCGTGTTATACGATTCATTCTTTATCGGAATTACTGTGATTCGAGAATAGGTAAAAGTAATCACTTCGGGTGCAGGTAACATCTTTAGAGCCTCGGAACCACCGTTCTGACTGAGCTGAAGCATCCCGCGAGGCTGAGTCCCGGCTCTGAAGAAGAGACACGAGTTCAGTGCTCACCCCCTCTGGTGTTCCCATCCCTGCGGCTCGGGGCCGGTGTCTGCACGGCCCGGCACGGGGGATGAACGCTTGCTGAGCGCTGGCAGTGTCTGTGCAGATCTGCACACCTGCGAGGGCTGCAGAAGTGCTCCGGTAGCTCCGCACACTGAGTGCCGGCAGCGCCGCTCTGCAGAGCTGGCAGTCACAATTAAAAGCCCTGCCCGGTTATGTTGTGCTTTCTCTCCAGATGGGAGAAGAGCAGAGCATTAGGGAATAATCAGTGTTGGCAGCATTGATTGCCATTTGCAGAATAGCTCAGAGGACAGAATGTTGTTAATATGCCTGAGCTAAACCTACAGTTTCTGCAGTCATCTACAGAGCTTTTTAGAGGATGTGTGCCTTGGTTATACTTCAGTTTATGTGTTTTGTTTTATTTTTTGAATACGTGCAGCTGAGTTGCAGTTTGCTTTTATCTGCTTCCTGATTGGGAATGTATACGATGCATTTGAGCACTGGAAAAGACTGTTAAACATCCTGTGCCGTTCTGAAGAGGCCATTGCAAAGTATCAAGAGCTTTATGCCAATCTCATCTTCGTCCTGTATCACCAGCTGAATGAAATCCCATCTGATTTCTTTGTGGACATTGTCTCCCAGGACAACTTTCTGACCAGCACCTTGCAGGTACGGCTGTGCTATCTCTTGAACAATGGGAGTCAGAGCAGAGGGCATGCAAGGCATTGAAGCAAATTCAGAGAGAAGCTTCAAGAGGAAATAAGCTGCTGTTGAGTCTGCCAAAGATAGGGAAGCCTGTGTCCTCTGAAGACACTTACATTTCCTTTTACTTTTTCCGGTGTTGCTCACACAGAACTGTCCTCACTTGTCGTCTATGAGCTGGATCTGCTAATGCTTTGCCTTTAGCAGATCAAGCATGTAAAGCACTATGGACTGGAGTTAGTCCACATGCACGTGCCAGTGAAGTGAGGCAATGAGAGGAGAGGCTATCAAAGGCTGCTTGCAGCATAGAATGAGGACTGTGTCTTCTTTATTATGTCTTCTTTATTATGTTTTCCTTGAAAATATTACTGAAAGTGATCTGGTACATTTGCACGGGCTTGGAGCTTTGGAGTGGCACAACTGACGTGACTGGGTGGAACCAGCATGCTTTTCCTAAAAGTGATTTGGGCTTTCAGCAGTGTGAAACTGAACATCTCTGAGAGGGGCTGAGCATGTGCAAAATGATGTCTGTTTGTTGATCTTTTTTTTTTTCCCTCTAAATACCATTCATATAAAAATACGTAGCTTGATGTAAAAGAGTGGTGATGGTTTTCATAGAATCACAGAATGGCCTGGGTTGAAAAGGACCACAATGCTTATCTAGTTTCAACCCCCTGCTATGTGCAGGGCCGCCAACCACCAAACCAAGCTGCCCAGGGCCTTGAGTGCCTCTGGGGATAGGGCATCCACAACCTCCTTGGGCAACCTGTTCCAGTGCCTCACCACCCTCTGAGTGAAAAACTTCCTGCTAATACCTAACCTAAACCTCCCCTGTCTCAGTTTAAAACCATTCCCCCTTGTTCTGTCACTATCCACCCTCATAAACAGCCATTCCTCCTCCTGTTTATACGCTCCCTTCAAGTACTGGAAGGTCACCATGAGGTCCCCCTGGCACTTCTTTTCTCCGAGCTAAACAAGCCCAGTTCCCTCATCCTTCCTTCATAGGAGAGGTGCTCCAGCCTTCTGACCATCTTAGTGGTCCTGCTCTGGACCCGCTCCAAGAGCTCCACATCTGGGGCCCCAGGCCTGGATGCAGTTCTGCAGATAGGGCCTCACAAGAGCCGAGTAGAGGGTGACAATCATCTCCCTCTCCCCTTCTGGGCTGTGAGCACATACTGCTGACTCGTGTCCAGCTTTTCATTTTTGGTCAGCTTGAATGGTGTGCTCAGCGTGCAGAGAAGTTGCAGTGAAACCTTATTGAGCTGAAGGCATAGATAGCATTTAAGAAGCCTTTCTGCTCCTGCTAGCTGTATGCAAAAGTGAAGATTTCCTGAAATCATAGAATCATTCAGGATGGAAAAGACCCTAAAGATCATCGAGTCCAAATCAAGTTCTTGTTCATAGGGGATTTATGGTTTCCTACCTGCAGAAATACATTGCTTGTGCTGAGACAGGCATGGGCAAATCTGTAATTCAGCAGTAGTGAAACTAGTTACTCCCAGTCATTTTAACTGTTAACAGATCAGCAATAGACCAAAACTTTAAATCTAAGGAAAATGTGATTTTAAAAATAAAAAACCATAAGCAAATATGGCAGTAAATCCCAGCAACAGAAACTTGGTCCTAGCAGGAGCAGTTGAGTACCTGGAGTATGTCAGAGGTGTTTGATGTAAGTGAGCAGTGCCTTCCCCTTTCTCAGGGAATGGCCCCATTTCTCTGCTGGGCACTCCGGGTTCCTGCTGTGCTCTTCTTTTTGCAGGGGGAGGTGTTTGTTTTTAACTTGCTGGATGAAGTGATATGAGAAGCATTGCTTTAATCAAGCAAATGATTTTATTTGCCCCCACTGAAATTTTTAAGAATTTAGGTTCATAAAAGTTTTTATTATTATTTTTATTGTATTATTTTCTTTTACCATTCCTTTAGATGACTGGAAAATCTGCCTCTATCTGCAGCACACTTACAGAGTAACTCATTTCACTAACCCTGGGAAATGAGAGCAGCACAAAGAAGGCATCAGCCAGCTGTTCCTTCCATGCAATGGGAGTTCTGCAAGCACTCTGTCTTGCTGGTTATCCTCCCAGTTCAGGGGCACCTGAGTCTTTCATGCCCTCAGATTTCATCTGCTTTTGTTTTTTATGTTGGCTGATGAAGCGGATGCCCTTAGCATTTTCACAGCTGGATGGTTGCCTTCAGTGATCACTGTTAGCCCCTGGTAGCAGTTACCACATTTCTGGTAGGAAAGAAGAAATTTGCCTTTTGGTCAAACAAAGCCTCTCCTTGTGAGGAGTTCTGCAGTTCTTAGCTCCTGTGGAGTTTCCCTGATGTGCTGAAATAGTGCCAGGAGACCTCTGGGACTTTTAGCACTGGATATGTGCAGGTGGACTGGAAGTGTGCAGTGGGATGGAGGGGAATGCATGGTCCAAGTGTTCAGCTTTGAGTGCAGCAGTTCTGTTTTGGGGAATTTGATCTGAGGCAGGAGCAGTATGCTGTGTCCTTCCTTGAATATGCAACCCTGACAGTGTTTAAAGGGGGGGGGGGGGGG